ACACACGTGCAGTGATCCCTAAGCCACTCCGCTTTCTATTTTTGGATCTGGTTTGGCCGGCCATTCGACTTGCCATCGGTCAGCAACCGTAAAACATTTATCTGCACGAGGCTCCCCTTGTGCCCTAAAGCTACCGTGCATCTCGGATACCCTCACACACCTGCACATGCAGCATGACAATGTAATCTCAGACTTGACTTATGGGAATTCAGACTCAACACAGCAACTACTTCCGTAATAATGGAGTCCTAAGCTCCAACAACAACACGAGAGGATTGGCTCCCCTCTATGTTGACGTATTGGATATTTGATTCAATACATTTCAACGAACCTAGACAAAGCCCTGTACAAATATGCAATGATAAAGTCAGCCCACGTGCTGTGTGTAGTTGTATGACATTGACAACACTTCATTACAACTGTAGACCTGGCCATCACGACAACCAGGCCTCATTTTATCTGTACATAACCGAGTGAATTTCCAAAAGTGTTGCTTTCATATCCCACTATTTTCCTATTCGCTCTGCAGAGATAAAATGTCACTGAGCGCACACAAAAACAGAGATCCCCCGTATAGTATTAACATACTTTTGGGGAAAGTGCTGTTAGCAAGCACCTATTTAGATCAGCATCGGTGCCAGTACCACGCCCGGCCGTTTTTGTCTCCAAAGTGTTGATCTTCACACACCGCACCACGACTCACTTGACGCGCGCGCACACACACGCAGAGACACCGCCTGCGCTGCATCTGCAGTGGCGGGGGACGGTATGTCACGATCAGGACAGCGCTGCGAGATGAGACGCTACATCTGAGCTGGGCATGCTGGCAGAGTAATCCGTACAAGCGCTATGTAGGTTAATCCATGCAGGCTGCTGCCAGAGCACAGAGCCCGCTGCACAGGAGCTCATTGGGCACCCTTGGCATGCACATTGAAAAACGGGACCGCCAGAAGATGCAACTCGCATGAAAACCAGACGACTGGAGGTCCCTAAAAATAGGATTGAGTGTCCAAATGCAGCCTTATTTGTCAATCCTCTGCTGAATGATGGCTTCCCTACGCCGCGTGTGGGTCATTGGGGTTGTTTGACGACATACCTCACCGTGTTGGGGTCAATGTGGGCTGGTGAGGCAAGGAGCACTGGAGTGTGGTACCACAATGGATTTTTCTGCACCGCCCTCTGCTACTCAACACTCAGCCCTACAGGCCAAAACAACCTGTTGTGTTTGGTGATCGCCCATCCAAGTACTGTCCAGGCTCAACCCCGCTTAGCTTCTGAGATCTGATGAGATTTGGTATGTTCTGGGTGATTTGGTCATGGAATGAGTTTGAGTATTTTTACTTAATTTAGCACATTCCAAGTCTGAAACCCTTACATGTTTGAGCTTGATTACAAAGTGATGGACAGCTCTATTAGGATGGCGTGGAAATTTGCACCACCACAGTGTGGATAAGAGGCAACTCAACTGACCTCAGTAGTCATAGAATGTCATTTTGTAAGCACAGGGTGATGTACTACTTTCTGCTGGTGTATAAAATCAATAATGAAAATACAACAGTAGTAGTAGTAATTTTAATGATGCCAATTATTTAACTGGAAAAAAACTTCAACGAGTCTCAAAGACTGGTTTCAGGAGGGTCCCGCATTGGAAGGTTTGGCCAATTCCATCAACGTTTGCCTTCCCGTGGGAGGAGAGCCACACACACAAAATGGGCCATACAAAACACTTACACCACGTGGCCACCTCATAACCCCACTCCCAGGACACCTAGCAAGCCCTGATGGGCACCCATCCAAGCACTAACCGGGCTGAAGCCAGCTTAGCATCCAAAATCACACAATATTAGGTGCACTCAATGTGCTGTGGACGTCGGCAAAATAAATAAAAAAAAATGTCAACTTCATGACACGATACCGACAGCACAATTGACAGAGGGACTGGAATTTAAAAACAATGAAAATAAAAAATAAAAATAGATATTTTAATCTACAGCATTTTACCAGCCTTGGTAAAGATCAGGGTGACCGTGTAACATTTACGTCCAGTGCTGCTGCTCGAAATAACACCGTCTGCAAGCGAAACAACCCTTCAAGGCGTCCTCCCTCGCATTTCTGCAACGACTGCGTTAACGATTATGACCTTCAAAAGCCCAGGCTGTCGGGAAGCAAAACATACACATGCTTCTGCCAAAGGCTTGCAGCAGTTGAGATACCTGTGCTCAAATTGCATTGGAGAAAATCGCCTGCTATTTCATAGCAAGTTCAACAGAAACGGAGCAGTTGTGCAATTAAACAGCACCCACTACCGGTCAGGAAAGAGATGCGCATTTATCAAAAAAAAAATTAGGTTACATCGGGTAAAGATAATGTTCCGAGATTTAAGGCGATAAGCACACTTTTTTTATAAGGCTGCCAGTTCCACATGTTTAACAGACCTCGTTCATCATAATTCACTCAAGTAAAACTGCATGGGGATTTTAAAAAGGTATACATTTAGAACTGACTAGCTTTACGACCCAGCTTCGCCCGGGACTTGGATTCACCACGCCCGGCCGCCTTTGTCTCCCCAGTGACGATGTTCACACACCACACCAGTTACTCGTTTGAGGCTGAGTCGACCTAGGGGAGGCCCAGGACCGGTTCAAATAATCGTCACCGGTGGTGGCCGTGAGCGGGAATCGAACTCAGGTCGCCGGGTTCGTAGCGCAGCACGCTAACCACTACACTACCGCTCCCCCCACACACAAACGCGCGCGCGTCCATAGGTACACATACACGCGCTTGCTGCAGACACACACAACTTTCAGAGTGCGTACGGCAGTAAACGCCTCAAATAATAAACCAATGCTGCGCGTAGAACGCCTTAGACCTGCAACACATTTGTATGGCCCTTTACTCGCAGAGAGTTGGGGGGGGGGTGCGTGACATCAGCAGGCACACTGCGTGACGCTTCCACATGTGGGTGGCATCACAGATGTGACATCACAGCTCACTTGCCGTGCAAAATATATATTTAAAAAAAACTAAAGTATATTTTTATACTTTTAGCATGGTGTACAGTCTGGAAACTACCCACATGCCAAATTTCAAGATTGTTGCATGTCGGGAAGTATGCTAAACATTTCGAACAGAATTTGATTTAAAGCTTTCGTGACTGCAGGGATTCATATTCTTGGTTCTTTCGGTAAAGTCACGTAGAAAGAACCAAGAATATATTTCGAACAGACACACATATTCACAAATTTCCCTTTTATATATATAAATGCCCTTTTGGGAATGTGCAACTACGTGAGACAAAAAAGTCTGGTAAATGGCAACAACATGACCAGTGTAATTATGAATAAACCTGCACTTATAAAGGATGAACAAAGTTTCCATTTTCAAGTTCATTTTGTTTAACCAACTGAGAGCTCTAGTGACCAGGATACAGCAGTTTAATTTGCAAGAGCGGCAGTCTGTGGCATTATTGTGCCAGTGTGGGTGACGATGACTCTGTATAATCACAATTGAGCAATTTGTGGGTAATTTTTTAAATTGGCAAATTTGGACCCCGACATCGGCACACAGCGTCTTAACTCCTGCAAATGACGTCGGGGGGGGGGGGGGATGTTTAACTTTAATTTTGAAGCAGACGGCGCGTAGTTATATTCTGTTTATCACACGCGCAGTAATAACCAGAGCGGCCGCTGGATTCGAACCGTGAACCTCTGCAAAACAAGCGGCTAATGTGCCGCCACGAGACCACGACAACAGGCGTTAAGCCTCAAACGCCCCCATGTGTCATAGATGCTCCTACAAAATCAAACACGTAGCATAACTCCATTTGACAGCTCTTTGGCATTATACTGTTGGATGAAGGCCACTCTATATCATAACGGTCAAAAGGATTGTTCGACCAAAGTTGACCTAAGCCGGTCAAGTCAAATATGGTGAAAGTATTGTCCAGGACAATAGGTTGAGCGAGCACATTTCCTCGCCTACATGGTCTGCCAGACTCCCCGGGCCGGGTCGCCCAGCCGTAAGGGAAGGGCAGGGGTCACAGATTTGGGCCGTGGTTGAGTTTACTGGCTCAGTAATGTGCATTGTTTGACGGCGGACGTTGCACGATATTTTAAGGATGCAGCAAAGATACGTGCAGGAAAGACCAGTTGCAGTTTTACACACACAACAGTTTCAGTTTAAGCTTGCTCATGGACTCAAGTCAGCTGTATGCCGACCAATGCATCACTCAGTGTTTCTGTAAAATCTTTCATGTAACGATATTATATTAAATGCACATGTGTGTCACAGTCTATTGTTAAATTACCTACGCTTCACAATGTCGCTTTGAACTCGCTCATGTTACAGATACTCTATTAAACTGACTCATGTATCACACTCCCATGTAATGTAACCTATGCATCACAAAGTTCCCTATAAACTCTCACGTACCAGAGTCTCCTATTAGCTCACCCGTACATCACGCAAATTCCCAAGAGTCAAAACTGTAAACGACGAGAAAACCCATCAAAACAGGAAAATAATGCAGGCCGCAAAAAAAACATACGTTTCAAACAATGGTGAACTAAGACAGGAGACCACAATGCACTTCTTCAGGAAATGCTGACGGTTTTTGCATGAAGCACAAAGGTCGAGTACTTTTTACACATTTTTGCGTGTTGTTTGAAACACAATGTCGCGTAATCTCACGGAGCCTCCTGTAAGCTACCAGAGACTGTAAACTCACTCAGGTTCCGTAGTCCTCTGTAAGCTACGACATTTTCCCGTAATCTCGTGTAACCGGGATACTCTAGAATTCTGGATACTCTACTAAACGCACTCAGACACCGCAGTCCCCGGTAAGCAGACCTGTTCATCGCAGCCTCCGATATACTCACTCAGGTACCAGAGACTCCGGCAAGCCAACCCATGCACTAGTCTCCCACAAACTCAGTGTCGATGCCACAGTCCCCCATAAGCTACACCCCCCGTCTAAATCGCACATTCTCCCGCGTACTCACTCATGTAGCGCAGCGTCTCCTCCGCTTGCTCCGGGGAGAGATCGGGGCTTGCGTAGGCGCCGTCACCATCGCCGTCATCCGGCGAGAGGACGGGCGAGTGGAGCCAGTCTCGGTGCTCGTAGCCATAGACGGCGTTGGCGCGCAGCGTGTAGTGGGGCAGCCGCTCTTCCAGGAGGCTGATGATCTCCACCTCCGGCAGCTCGGCACTGCTGCATACGTCTGTGGTCATGGTGGTGGTGGTGGTGTTGGTGGAGGGGAGACGAAGAAGATGTGTGTCAGACCAAGCCAAACAGCACACATGACGAGGGGCGACAAACAAGGTCATCATCATCGGCCGTGATCTAGCCACTGCTAGATGAAGGCATATACGAGCTGTCGCCAACGCTCATGGTCCTGCAACCCGACGACCGGTCAATTCTGCATCTGTGCAGTGGACGTCCTCTCGGATACGTTCCCTCCTTGGGCTGGCACTCCATCGTTAGTCTCGACCACCGACCAAGAGGCCTTCTCGCGACATGTCCTGCCCAATCCCACTTATTTTTCCGAACAGTCAAGATGATGTTTAACTTGCAGTGCACCGTGTTAAGCTCACAGCAAGTGTGTTCTGTGACTGATTCCCATTATAATGCACAAATTCAGAGATGAAAATGATGAATTTTCTCATAATAGCTGCATCAAATTACGCATGTTCATCAATCGTGTACAATTTATGTACCTTACATGCAAATATCTCGAACGGAACTGTACAAACACAAAATAATGATATGGAATACCACCAAGACATTTTCTTTTTACACAAGCAGTCAATCCTCAAATGGAATCGTGACCCCAATCATGACAATCCATCAAGGTGCTGGGGAGTGAATAGTTAAATGTCTACTTAATATGGGACTTCACACGTCCGTTAATTCTACCGATATATACACCGTCAACAATTCCCAAATGCACTTTACGGTACCTGTTCAACGGCACGCTGTGCGGATGTCCGCGCGTATTCCTAATTTATCCTCAAATCTGGCAGTCCGCCTGAAGATGCCAGTTATAATTACTGGCGAAACGTCGTACTCAAATTGTAAATGTCGTGGGTTTACTCTCCAACACGCCCGTGTGCTGAACTAGGAACGAATCGGCATGTTTTGTTGACGCGACAAACCTCACTAATTGGCCGTGTCGGGTAGTGGCAGGTTTAACGACACATTTATATTTACGCAATCTAACCCCAAAAAAAAAACCTCTATTCCGTCATTGCCGCGAAGGCACAGTTGAATCTTACGCCGTGTTCGGTCACTCGTGCGACACAACCGATGCGAGGAAGCGAAACAAGCGGCAAACAGTGCGGTTGCCAAAAGCATTGTCGAAATCGCTGCTGCCAACAGGCGTTGTGTAAAGTGCATTGGGACTTTGGCGAGGGTCTGGATATTGTTTACGAGTGCTAAAAATAAATAAAAATCTAAGCATATTCCCTGGCCAAACAAGCACAGGATGGCGCTAATCTGTGCAAAGCCCTGGTCGACTGGTGGAAATTCTACATTCCTATGGCAGGGGTAAGTCTACTCAGAGTATCCACTATCGACTTCCAAAAGTACAATTTTACAGACCGTCAGTTCAAGGTAGAATTATGAAGTTCACCCCGACCTAGATTTAAACGTGTAAACTTCTGGCCGCGAGGAAGTTGAAGCCGTATGTTCTAGCTACTGCCCCTCCCAGCGGGATAAATGAGTTGCAGACACTTGAATCATTGGCATGTTAACGATGAATCAGACCATTAACGACAAATCGATTCGTACACTCAGGATACATGCGTGGAATCATGCATGTCAATTACTTACAATTTCCGATAAATATTACACACAATTTGTTCAAATTTTAAGTCTTTAGGCTCATGGAGGAACTGAGAAATAATGTACGAGGTAGGCAACGCAAATAAGACAATACAAACGGGACATCAAACACAAATATCGAATTGTATTCTGAAGCCAAATCATGACAATTCATCAAATTGCGCTGAGGGTGAAGGCGGCGGCGAGATGAATCGCCACCTGCCTACTGACAGTCATGATATCACGCGGCCTGTAACCACCCACACGTGGGTCCTACATGCACACATTAACACTACCGACAACAGACATTGACTCCCCAAGGGCCAGAAGCTAAATAAAGGTATGGGACTACAAAGGCTGAAGGGCGAGGCACAGGGCTCTAGGTCAGGGCAAGAGCACACGTTGAAGTCCACCTCTGCAATGGGCAGCAGCGAACACTTAAGTCCAGCAAAGTCCTCTATGTGAATGACCTTCAGCGAAACACAAACAACGGCTACTAGGCAGCCAGAGGAAAAAACACAGCCTGGTCTAAATCTGTTACCCGAGTGAGGGCGGGAGAGTGGGTGTCGTGAGACTGCGCTGGCAGGCTGCATGTTTTTTTTTTATATGCAGGCGTGATTGTTTAATGAATGCCAACGTTGCACACGGCAACACATTATCGTCCTGTCACCAACGGCGCTGCCGAAAAGCGTCACGTTTATTTTTCCACTCTACACGCCGGCACTGACACTGCATACTTATAGAAACATAATTTTATAAATAACGTAAACAGAGTATGACCAAATAATCCAGAGTGCACCAGATCTTATCAGATCTCAGAAGCAGGGTGGAGCCTGGATAGTGCTTGGATGGGTGACCACCCTATCCAAAGATGTGATAACTGGACTACAAGGCTACTTGCTGAGCAGTGAAGAGCAGTGCAGCACAATCCATCGCGCCGGTGCTGTACTGTAATACTAGCATGTCTTCGCCAATCCATGTTAAGACAGTGAAGCATGGTCAAATAAGCACCATGATAAATACAGCGTGGAGAGACACTCATTCATTCGTAAATGGCCTGTACATGTACAAATCACACAATAAAAAATACTTACCACAAAGATTTAATAAGTTAGGGGTGTAACAATGCATCAATTAAATTGTAGATTTAAAGTTTTTCTGCAAATTTTGAAAGATTGCTGCTATTGAGGACGGGAGCCATGCGCCCCTATTCTGCACAGTCCAAAATATCACACTTGAAATGAAAGCATCAAGCTTTCAGGCACAAACCACCATGAGAGGCTCGGACCTGTGATGGTGCTGGCGTCCCGGTAGATGCTGGTGCCGGCTTCGTTCCAGGGACTCGGCGTGTCGCTCGAGTAGTAGACCTCAGGCCCGCCCGGCGGGTACGCAAATGCAGGAAGCGGGCGAGCGCACGCCTGCGTCGCGGCTGGACTGGACGAGCCCAGCGGCGGAGACAAGGAAAACCCGGAGGCCGCGCCGGGGTACGAACCGCTCGGCGGCACGGGAAGACCTGGCGCCGAATCGTGGGGGCCCTGACGAGCCGGGTAGCTCGGCAGCAGCTCGGACACGGCAAGGGACACCGGCCGCCCGGTGCCAGCGGTGGACGTTGCCAAATTAGTAAACGGTGCTGTCCCAGTGTCTGTGAAGACTGGGCCCGAACCGAGCGAAGTCACAGGGCTGTTCGCTGTCCATGTTTGCGTGGTCGTGGCGTAAGGTGGAGCTGCAGGCCCAGGCTTGAGCGACTCTCCACTGCAGGCCAGGCCGGCCCTCGCCAACGTGGCTGTGGCTGTCAATGTGGTTGAGGTCGTGACTGTGTACGTGGCTGTGGCTGTCAATGTGGCTGAGGTCGTGACTGTGTACGTGGCTGTGGCTGATGGCCGGCCCGAGGGCCACCCAGGGCTGGCCGCAAGAGAAGGGCCGTTCTTCGTGATGCTGGGCTGGTAGAGGTGCGATGCCTCAGTCGGCCCAGCAGGGAGGGCCAGCTTGCTGGATGAGACAGACAGGACGCCCCCCTCACTCCTGCAGGGACATCAGCGGATGAGTGCTGCAGTCATGCTCTTGCAGGCCCACGGGGTGGTGTTCCTGTTTTAGCGCAATGCAGAGCAGGGGTTAGCTCAGCTGAAAGCATGGTCACAACAACAACATGAATGCAGAGGCACAACCACAACCGAGATATCTTAATATACGAATGTGGTTTAACAAAATTATCTCAATTACATTTAATTTTACCTGAAAACAGTTCAATGAGCATGAAAAGGTGCTGCCCTGCAACTGCTTGCTATTACCACTGCTATTGGAAGGGCCTCAACTAAAGGTAAATCCGGACAGCCCCTCTACAGGGTATTTTGGCCTACTCTTCCACACTCGAAGAGGTGGGAGTACCCACATTTTACCCCATCACACGCAACAAAATGCATGACTGAATGAGAAAAAATAATTAAATAAACATGGCATTCTTCTAAGAAAATATTTCATTGTTGATTTTGACATTAAGATATTAAATTCGATGCAAATTTCCACAGTTTATGAAAAATATTCTTTAAAAATCCAAAAAGCATTATTTTCATTAAAAGGAAACAGGAGCACATTGAAATGTATGCTTAGATAAGTGCATTTGTATGGATCCAGTGTTCAGGGAAATTCAATAACAGCGATTAAAGTCACTCTATTCGTATACAAACGCGTGTTGTACTCTGCAGTGTATGGCAACTTGGTGCCACGATGCTGCCTTCAAAACTGCAGACGTTTCAAGTCGCCAACGTTCGATTTAGAACAACCGTACAAATTGTACCTTTTTACTTGAATGTCATTTTTTCGCACAGTGACAAAACAACACACGACACATCGACGAAGTTCACAAGTGTAACAACGATGAGGCGTTTCCTGTCCAAATGTTCATTCACGGCAGAGGTTCGTTCATATAAAAATACACAGGCAGGTAGGAGGGAAGGAGGTGGAGGGGGGGGACAGTGTAGGGGTCAGGGGAAGGGGGTTGGGCCCCTATTCTGCAGTGCGTATTCCAGGCTGGGGCATAGTGGACATGGGAGGTGCGAGGGAATGATCTCGTCTTCTGGAAGTCTGAGTCATTCCCTCTCCACCTGTGCCTGATGTGTTCTGTGCGTCGTAGACAGGGTCTCATGCTCTTTCCAGGTGTACAAATGTATGTTCCTGGCTGTGATATTAAATATTTGAGAGATATTTAAAATGATAAAAATCAAAATACCAATGTTCCAATGCATCTCAAGGAAGAAGAATGATTTTAATAAGTGTATACTATCTGTAACGACATATGGGTCAGAAACTAAACATTTTTATAAAGAAAATGGAAGAAAATCTGAAAATGTGGATGCTAAGAATTGCACAGAGACACATAAAGAGGAATGCATGGGAAGTATCCGAAGGCAAGACACGTCACTGACAGGGATGATGATCACCGATTGAGACTAATGACAGTGCCAGCCAAAGGAGAGAGCACACCGAAGATGACGTCCATTATAGAAATGGAGCGATGACATCAGCTCGTGCGCAGATGCCATGTGGATTGTTGCATCCCAAAGACCATTAAAGATCACTACAGCTTGGGAAGGATCTTCATCCAACAGCAAATAGATCATGCCTGATGATGACAATGATGAATGGTCGAAGAACACAGCCCCACACAGACCTGGCAGTTCTTCCATACAGATGCACTTTCAACATTTATTTGTAACCAACGTTTTACCGTTGGGCTTAACAAAAGAAAAAGCACGCCACCCACAGCTGAAAAAAGTGAGGCATTCTTGCACATCAATCCGTCTTCCATAATATTACAAGTGCAGGGGGAATTGCGTCCTCGGAGCGGCGGTTGTTCGTAACAAATCTTTTCCCCAAGCGTCATAGTTTACAATACAAGGCAGCTTATCATCGCCTTAAAATTCCTTTTATCATAAAGTGTCGAACAAAAGCAGCGCCTCCCAAGAGCTTATCGCGAATGCGTGTCGAGTTGTTGCCATACATATGTAGTGACGTTAATAATGTAACTATAGCTATTAGCGCCAGCCACTATCAAAGGAGTGCTGCTGGGCGCCTGGAACCTCCCTAGGAAGCTCGAGGGACACGTGATGGGGAGCCAAGAGCTCCTGACTTGATACAGCAGGTGGTGTGGCCGAGGGCGGGGCAAAGCCGCGGCCTCGTCTGTGGGATCGTCCTGGGGTCCCACGTCTCTTCAATCTTCAGCTCGGCATCGTGGGTCAGGCAGCGTGTGTGCTGACTGACCCGTTAGTTAATAGTTAACCCACACTCACATAGTGATAGAGTAGCCACACGGCCCACAGTATAGTTAACCCACACTCGCATAGTGATAGAGTAGCCACACGGTCCACAACTAACTATAAAACCCGATGCGGTTAGAGTTACCCCGTTGGGGAAGTTGTTTAATAAACGTGTGTGTGTGCCTCGTACATCACACTACACATATATAATATATTGCCCACATTCAAAAGCACTGGCACTCTGCCGCGTATGCCATTAAAGCTAAGAGCTCTCCTGTCGGGGAATACAGCCCCCAGGAAACCAAGACCACTGGTCAGCCAACACACCCACAGCAATAGCATTTAATTGACCATTAAGGCACCAGTGGATTGCGGTTTTAAAATTTCAGCAGCCCCACTTTTTACGGCATAATTGTTGGCCTACAACAACGTCTAAAGGGAAATTCGTACTCACTGTCGTATTACTGGAACGGACAAATAATGGGTGGGTTAGACATTTGCGTATCACATAGACTCTGATGAAAAGATAAAAGGTTACGTTATTTTAGCACATTTTAACCAGTCCCAGAAGAAATTTGAAAACATAACAAGTCAGAAGCTTCATTATTCTTTTCCTCGTGTTTCTTTATTAAACAAGTTAAGAACATATTTATTAGCATATAATTACATCTTAAGTTTAGTTATACCTATTACCGAGTGATAAAGACACCAACTAGGACCAGTCTTGATTTGGTCAATTATTGCATTATCATTTATGAGCTTTAACATAAAGCATTGGAGTAATTAACTTGGTTGCGAATTCAGTCAATCCCTAAAGGGAACCATTGTAACATGATCAAGCCATTGCATAAATTACTAATGATGTTCCAACAGCCTGCACCCCCTGCCAAAGAAAGCCCTCAAAACCAGTTAATTATAGAGACTTTTAAGGTGAAAACTCAATTTCGACTCAATTCCCATAGTCAAAGTGGAACATGTTGAAGGTACAAGTAAAATCCATCCACCATCTCTAAAACTGAGATATCTGATTCAAACCCCTCATGAATTACTAATGCTCACGTTTAATTATTGGCATGCAACATTAAGCAGACTGCAATTCCAGTCATTCTTGTAATACAATAGGAAACACTGCGGCTTTTTGTGCTAGATAAGAGGAAAGACAGTGATGCCAGTCCAAGGGCGGGTGTATTTCAGTGCCTTTAATTTAGTAATTTAACCAGTGGGGTTCATGGATCGTGCGTAGATGAAATATTGTGATTCTCATCTACCTGCAGGAGAAATACTGCGTATTTACGATTCATAAGCGCAAAAAATAACTTTCTCTGGGCACTCCAGTTTTCTCCCACTCATAAACCATGCCACAATTAAATTGTCGGGCATTCCTCGAAGCATCTTGAGGCTTCGCATGTCTTTTCCAGATATGAAGTGACTACCATCCCCGCAGATTTGTATGCAATCATAGACCAGATTTATGTCCGGTCACAGACGTTTCTTGACTTGCATTTACCCGTTAGATGCCCTTTCCAATTCCGGATACCCTACAGTTTTACTGGTAGGAACCACCTGGTTCCACCAGCCCACAGGGGATTATTGTGTCCGTCCGTCGTGCATCCAAAAATGGGAGGGGTCGGGCTGGGTGGAGAGGGGAGGGTGGGGAGGGTGGGGAGGGGCTGGGTAGGGAGATTGGGGAGGAGCTGGGTGGGGAGAGGCTGGGTGGGGAGGGTGGGGAGGGGCTGGGTGGGGAGGGTGGGGAGGGGCTGGGTGGGGAGGGTGGGAGGGGCTGGGTGGGGAGGGTGGGGCTGGGTGGGGAGGGGCTGGTCACCCCGTGGTGCCCTGATAAAACTCAACGTTTAACCTACTCACGCCGGCTTGTGCCCGCCCTCACAGTCGGGCATATTTGCGGAATACACCACGCCGCCGTTGACCCTGGCCATTGACCGAGCAACCCAACGTTCCTACCAGCTCCCTCCGCAGGAATGTGTTTGTTAAGAAATATGACGGGATGCAGCTTCACGAGTTTTGTACGTATGTATGCTGAACTTATTTGGCACCGTACATTGCCATCCGTGCAAATCTGAGTTTTAGTGCCGTGTCAGGGGTTACGGTTTAAGGTTATGGGTTCTTATTTATGATTGGGGTTTAGGGTTAGGAATTGTGGTATTAAGGCTTAGGGTTGCCGACAGGAGTACCTCAGACTAATTGTCTCACTTCGCATCTGCAAGGACAAATAGCCTTTGCCATGCGGATACTGTAGCCTGCGTGGGGCATCACTGTCATATTAGATTGCCAGCACGCCACGTTCCTTCAACCGGAATGCCAACACTGCCACAGGAACACGCATGACCTTCACGCCTTTGTCACCGTGTTGTGGAAAATCCAAAACAATAACAATGCAGACGGGGTGCCCATTGTAGACAATCTATGGGACAATTTACAATTTCTGATCACGTAAAACCCAACCAAGTAGTCGCGCCAGCAAATATACCAACGACCCTCTCTGGTGACACACACAATTCACAAAGTGTCCTGCATTACCATTGCGAAATCGCACCTTTGTACGCAAGGAAATTACTCAGATTGATTTTAATGTTAGCTGTATTATCCTAGGCTTAAGCCCACGCGGGCTTAGAAAAAAAACGACCGACACAAGCCCGTAACGGCCGAGATTAACCGCAATTCCCGTCAAAAGTCATCGAACGCCGGCAAATGCGGCCTACTCGAGTCGGTCTCGGGAGTTCTAACCGGTCTCGACTAGTTCTTGCCTACCGAGGAATAAGCACCGGCGCCGGCTGAGCCAGCCTTGACCACGCCCGCAGCCCGAACATCTCCCAGGGCTACAACTCGCCGGCAAACGCCGTTTTTTTTTACCTGAACCCTCTCCACCCTCCTCTCGCTCAGCGGGGGAGAAGCTGCCCGCGTGGCCGGTGGTGGCGACCGGTGCGTGCGAGAGTCGCTCCGCGGTGTCCGTGAACCACCAACCCCCGACCCCGGAGCCGGGAACGTAGCGGGGACAGAGAGCGGCGTGAGGTGGGCGGCGAGGGGAGGGGAGGGGGGGGAGAAGCAGTGGGTGCGGTGACGTCACCTCGAGACGACGACGGGGGTGAAGGGGGGGGGGCGGAGAGGGGGCGGGCATGAGGGTGAGGGGGCATGGGGATGGCGGGGCATGGGGGAGGGGCGGGGGCATGGAGGCGGGGCATGGGAGAGGGGGCGGGGCATGGGGGAGGGGGGGGAGCATGGGGGCGGGGCGTCACCTCGACGACGGGGGGGGCGGGGCGGATGGGGCGGGGCATGGGGGCGGGGCATGGAGGGGAGGGGGGGGGGGGGTGGGGGAGGGGCGGGCAGGGGAGGCGGGGCAGTGGGGGGAGGGCGGGGGCATGGGGGAGGGGCGGGGCATGGGGGAGGGCGGGGCATGATGGGGACGGGGCATGGGGGAGGGGCGGGGCATGGGGGAGGGGCGGGGTATGGGGGAGGGGCGGGGCATGGGGGAGGGGAGGGGGCATGGGGGAGGGGCGGGGCATGGGGGAGGGGAGGGGCATGGGGTTGAGGGTCCACGCTATATCGGTGGATCCCCAGTAGAAGGCACTGCAGGTTAATCCGTCTGTGTGTGTGTGGGATAGAGAAAGCATCGGCAAAATCTGCGGCTCTGGAGCCACGCGCGGCTCTTTAAGGGCTACCTCGTGACGTTATTCGCATGTAATTGCGGTTATTGAAATATTGAGGGGTTTTTTTTTACTAAATTCGTCATTTTGTATTGACGACCCCTGGGATAGAGTGTTTCCCCCTCGCACGCGTGGGTTTGTAAAACTATTCGTGCTTGACACGTTGGATTTCACGGACAATATCATCCATAAGAAGTTTTTTTGGGTTAGAGCGCGTAAATATATAAATGTGTCGTTAAACCCGCCACCACCCGACAAAGCCAATTACTGTAGTAAGGTTTGTCACACGAAACGTCTTACTCTGATTGTAAATGGTATGGTTTTACTCTCCAACACACCGGTATTGCTGTACTAGTAACGAATTGGCATGTTCTGTTTACGTGACAAACCTTACTAATTGGCTGTGTCGGGTGGTGGCGGGTTTAACGACACATATTTACGTGCTCTAACCCAAAAAAAAACTCTATTATGAAAACTATTACGACAGTAGTTGTATTTAACCAGGTAAAGCCCAGTGAGATATATTGCTATTTTTCAAAAGCGATCTGCCCACAAATGAGTGCTCAACGAAGTGGCTTATCATGTAGATCTAAATTAAACCGAACATGCTGCACAAAATAGAAGGATGTGCACCGCAGAGAAAAAACCAAAGACACTGTGTCTGTGCAGTCTTGAGAGGCTTTATAAATCCAAATTATATTCCAGCATGTGGTCAGAAAATGTTTAGAGAAGAGACATTGGTGGGAAGATAGGAAAAGGGACTTCAGCCTAAACTAAACTATTTTTTTATTTTACCAGGTAAGGCTCACTGAGCTACATAGCTATTTTTCAGAAGCGACCTGGCCACAAATGATAGCTCAACGAAGTGGCTTATCACGTGGAAATTTATAACAGCCAAAGTCTCTAAACGCAAAGTCTCGACGCGACCATGGGAAGAGTGACACGCAAACTCCAAATATACAGGCGCCAGGATCGGGATCGAACACACGACCTCCTGTATAGCAGGCGAAGTAGTTAATATCTCCTAGCCACCGTGAATCTACGCAGGGGTGAGAGAATGCAGTGCGGCTCTTCCGTCTGTTTGGTATAGAGTGTTTCCCCCTCGCATGTGTGCGTTTTCTCGGGATGCTCCGGTTTCCTCCCACACATCAAAACACTAATTACTTAGCCTTTAACACTTTCATATATAGAGGTCCGCAGAGCTTGAGTAATTGTTGATGCCGGCTGCCTTCCTACTTGAGCCGTTCACTGCCTTCGAGAGTGACGTGGATACAGTGAGCGTTACAAGTTGAAAGTATTGAATAGACTCAGTGAGACAGCGGGCTGAATCAGCTGTTGGATTGGTTATACTGGTAGGAACCTCCTGGTTACACCAGCCCACAGGGGATTATACTGGTAGGAACCTCCTGGTTACACCAACCCACAGGGGATTATTGTGTCCGTCGTGCAGGGAGGGGCTGGCTGGGAAGGGAGGGGCTGAGTGGGGAGGGGCTGGGTGGGGAGAGGAGGGTGGGGAGGGGGCTGAGTGAGGAGGGTGGGAAGGGGCTGGGTGGGGAGGGGCTGGGTAGGGGGTGGGAGGGGTGGGGCTGGGTTGGGAGGGGCTGGGTGGGGAGTGGGGCTGGGTGGGGGGTGGGAGGGGTGGGGCTGGGTGGGGAGGGGCTGGTCACCCCCGTGGTGCCCTTATAAAACTCAACGTTTAACCTACTCACGCCGGCTTGTGCCCGCCCTCCCAGTCGGGCATATTTGCGGAATACACCACGCCGCCGTTGACCCTGGCCATTGACCGAGCAAACCAACGTTCCTACCAGCTCCCTCCGCAGGAATGTGTTGTCAGGACATACTCTGCCCTCTTGTGGTCTCTACAAACAATTCCTGCACGAAAACGTATATCCTTTTCAAGGCACTGTGGAAACATTTAAATGTCCCTATTCTTAAATTAGCCTTGGGGTTGTACTCCTGTCCACTGCCCATGCTGAGCCAATTTGGGGAAATTCCATATTTCTAAAACAGGAATCATTCGCCTTCATTGGACTGTGTTCAGTCGCTACAAACTCAGCCTCTGGTTTTATTCATTTCATATTTTTAAAAAAAACGTGAGGTTATTACAGGACATGGATTTATTAGATCATTGTTATCAAAAGTACTGAATTGCAAGTTTAAGACCGCATTCCTCTGATGGTCAAGCCCATTTTTAAATCCTTTATATTAAGTTCACTTGCTTGCGCGCTTACGACCGTGCAAATCTTTCGGTCGTTTTTTAACCCACTTCCCGTGATCTAATCGAGCTGACATTTTGCACACAGACTCGTTGTGCGTGACAATTTATTTTCGTGAAAAAAAATTCCAAAATTTTACACTTTTTAGGAAAAATAAATTATATTTAATTACCAATGTCTTAATGGTGGCAGGCAATCATCTGACCCATAGATGGCAGCCATCTCAAGCCAGAGGACGAGAGGACTCTAGCCGCCACGCATATAAAGGATTTATAGTGAAAAACTTTTTTTACGGGTAAATTTTTTTATGTTTCTGCTCATTGCCAGATGTTCAAATCCAAGCTCGCCTGTTCAGAGGTTCATGCGGCACCGTGGTTAACAGAACGTTTTGGGTTCGATCCCGACCCTGGCGCCTGTATATTTTAAGTTTGCATTCTCTATCCTCGTGGTCGCGTGGATTTTTCTCCGGGTCTTCCGGGTTTTTCCATCCATATAAAAAATTTTGCGTTTAGAGAATTTGGCTGTTATACATTTCCACGTGATAACACACTTCGCTGAGCTATAATTTGTGGCCAGATGGCTATTGAAAAGAGCGATATAGGTCAGTGAGCTTTACTTTGTAAAACAACAAGTTTTAGTCCCTATCTTCTTCTCCCCACATCCTACTATTTCGTACAGCATGTTCGGTTTAATTTAGATGCTCATATTATTTGGGTCTCAGTAAAGTCACGTAGATAGGTTCAAAGAAAATGACAATTTGATTTGATCTGACTTCATACAGCATCTAAATTAAAGCTTTCGTGACTGCAAGAATTCATATTCTTTGGTCTTTCGGTAAAGTCACGTAAATAGGTTCAAAGAAAATAAAACAAAACTGCGACGTTTCGATCGCAACACAAGCGGTCGTCTATCTACGCGACTTTACCGAAAGACCAAAGAATACGAGAATTCCTACAGTCACGAAAGCTAATTCAAGATTAAATTTAGATGCTGTATGAAGTCAAATCGTAGTGTAATTGTATTCTATCTCGTCAGATAGCACGTTATACATTACAAATTCGATTGCAAAATACGACGCATCCTTCGAGCAGTTGACAAATCATCTCCAGCTTCATCGTCAAATATCGCCAGACTCCATGAGCCCAACCTCACAGTTCACTTACATCCTGGCTTGACGCCTCTCTCATCTTGGATTGGCTCAACATTTTGCAGGCAAATGTTGCCAAAATGCAGCACGCTTGATTGGAGAAAAAGTCGACTAGGCAAACGCTCCAGTTTGAGAGATAACCTCCAAAAATTACATTACACTGGCATTGTAGCGCCTTGCAAATATCAGTTATTGCTTCGAAGCTTTGACCCTACTTCCCACAACCCTGCAGTTTATATTTTTGGGGAATATCCCTTATCATTTCATTTCCCCAGCCGCCAGATGCCCTCATCTATTCCTTCATCACAACCCAACGAAATACTTTTGCAACGGTCTCTCGACATTTCAAAAATCTCTCGCTTCCAAACTCGAGACGATCCAAAATGCCGTCGCCACTCCTGATCCACACACACGAAAAACAAGACCATATCTCACATCAATCCTCCATTCACTCCTGAGACTAAACTTCCTTCTTAGATGTAGCTGCAATAAATGACCGGCAAAAGCACAAACTGGTCAGCACTCATTTAACACTTGGTTGTCCGTTCAACTGGCAAGGATGACTGAAGCTTTGCTACATCATTATCAACAAATTAGGCCTTCTCTTGCTCTCATTTATTTTAAATAAAAACATTTACATTTTTAAGTGCATTAATTGAAGTGATTTTAGGGTGTTCTTTGCACCTATTTGTGGGGCTGTTAATAGACGACAGCGAGTAGATCAGACTTCTATAGCAGTTTCAGATATGGGCTCAAGGGGCATTAAACCAAGAGATACGACTGGAGCTTTAAGTCTGTGGCCATCAGGTGAACTTCCTTCGCGTCGGAGGCAGGCCAACAGGGCTCATCGGAGGCAGAGATACGAGTCACCTGACCGCAACACATCTGCGGTACGCATGTTTAAATTCACAATAATGTAATGGTTTTAAGTCCATTTCATCTTTCAAACTTTTGTACGGAATGCAATTTGCATCTGTAAAAGGTTTAAATTCATTATTTCCTCATTTGTTCCACAGCGCTCAACTTCCAAACAAATCCATTTCCAATTTGGCAGTTTGCATATTCAAACATTCCACAATGTTTAATGTGAGAAAATTTCGCAAACCCTTCCCGATTTGAAACGCCCAGTGTTGTTGATAATCTTGAAAGTTTGAAGCACACCCACAAATTGGCAGTGTTTTGGTAAACATTGTCATTCATGGGCACGATATTTTTTTCGTCCTGCATTCGAAGGCTATGGTGTGCCAATGCATTTGTGCAAAACCCTGGACGGAAAGCATTACAATTAGTCGCATAGAGACAGAATCCTTTATTGGTTAAAACAAAGTCAAAAGCCATGCAGAAGGCAATGTACAACATACAATAACTTGCAACGGAATCTCCTGCTACATGTTACTAAAGCAAGCCTCGGCACATTATAAATCCTTCTCAAAATACCAAACCGCAAACGTTTTGATACCAGCATGACAGTAAACTTTGATAAATCCAAATTTCTGCCGGTCTTTTGCCACCAATTAAAAACACGTATGCGTGTTTTATTTCTGCCCTTTCATCTAGTCGTTCAAAATTTGAGGTTGTTCATAATTAGAATCCAATTAAAATTTTAAAAAACTACTTCCTTAGCCCACACCCTGGACATGTTCATCGTATAGGCATTAACACACAACTGGACTCCTACCCAGGAAACATCATGCACCTATACGATTAGTGTGGCGTTGGCTTACGTCTGTGCGATATTGCCGCCATTATAAAGCTGTGTATGCACTACTAAGAAGAAAGTGCCAAGGTATTTTTTTTTTATAAATTTAGGAATGGAGATGATCATATTCTTAGGTAGATCAGTTTATCAGAGGCCCTTTAAACAGCACAAACTGATTAAAATCGAAAATGCAAGTTGAAAGTCAATTCTGAAAGCATTATTTTTACTAACTCAAATGTAAACAATTTAACCGTATCATGGGGAGTGGGTTAACCGTTTATTATTTTTTAAAGCCCACTAAAAATTCTGTCCAAATGTCAATCGTACACACATTTCAATGAACACACTGTCAAGAGGTGCAAACTCTATCTGAAATTACACTGCACAACTAATTACCATACCGACGGCCACTCGTGATATGGCAAAAATATCTCCAAACAAGTTAATTTGCCGTAGCAGTTCATATTCTCCCACGTATGCAAACCAAAGCACTGTAGTGCTATGCACACAAAGTGGAGTCAACACTGCGGCATATTATTCACTTAATCACATGAAGATCCATGGTTTGATGCAATGGATATTTAAATTGTAAAAACAATCATTGAAAATACCTTGTATCTTAAAAAAAGTTTAACTTGACTTTGCTCCAAGATGTGCCACATTTTGAATAAATTAACATCTCCAGATTTATATAATCGGCTTCAGTGAAACGCCGCTTCCTGTGATGGCTGAGTCATGTACAGAATGTATGCCAGTCAAATGTTAATTTGAAGAACCATCAACTTCAACTCAAGCCCAAGGCATTTGAGGACTATCCATAGGAATGAGTCATGAAGTGGCAGTTTTGGAACAGCCTACTCATTAAGGAAATTGCTTATTTTATTTAACACCACACATGCCGTCCCCACTTGTGGTATTTTTCTGTTACTGCACAGGTGTGGAATGTTTACTTTGGAACACCCTCCTTTTCTGCTATAAGCTGTGAACAAATCAATCCTGGACTATTCTGCTCTTTTCAGTGCCAATAATCTGCTGCCAAGTGACCAATTCCCATGGGTCTCACTTAACCAAGCCAGGTCATTGCACAACATCTACACGTACAGGACACTAAAAACACACCAGATGCAGCACAATAGGTGAGTACCATGCCAGTCATGAATTCAATAATACCAAATATTAAAAAGGTTACTACAGTATAACAAAATGTGTTTAAGGATTAGAAAGCTTGTGATCACGCACTACCACGAGGCAATGAGGATTTGGTACGATGCAAAATCTAATACAGTTCTTACAAAAAAAACTTCTACTTAAAATAGCCATTCAAAAAATAGCACGTAAAAAATAACCTAGTGTAATGAATAAAATTGATCAAATTTGTTTTGTTTTTTTGGAAAGTTTTGGGTGGGGAAGATGAGGCACTTTCAGGTCATCTCAATGGATCCTTCCAAGGTCAACAGGATGAACGGATCAGAGTTTGCCTAAAAACGACAAAGAATAAGCACACAGGTCAAGCAGACAAAATCAATTAAAATCATAGCAAGCAGCAAGATAGATCGGTAAGCAATGCCCAGTTTCCATTAAAGGAGTATGTGGGAATATGAATCCCACCAGTGTTAAAAAAGATACATATATTTAATTTCACCATACATAAAATGCTTTAAGATAATATTAACCGGCTGCTTGTTTATAAGTGGCTAAATAAAAATAGCCATAATCTTTGTTTTGGTACTTTAGCTCTTCGCATAAATGCAGTAACTTCCTCAATTTAAAACATGCATTTGTTTAAGAATCAGTGTATTCCCAATTCACCCATGTCTCGAATTTTTTCTCTAACAAAGGGTTTCATTACATGTTGAAATTACAGTTTAAACAACTGCTCGGTAGAATAAGAAAATGATAACTCTGCATCCATCATTAGCCAGCACCCGTGGCCCCATGGTGGGCACAGCTGAATTAAGTAATCGGATCAAGCATTATTGATATTACATTACAGACTTGCTGTGTGTTTTCCCACCTGATGAGGATTGCTTGTGTTGCGATCAAAACGTCGAAAAATTTCAAATCTAAATTATGAAATAAAGGCTGTACTCCAGCACACGTTTGCTAAAACGTTTGTGAAGGGTACCATCACTATGGTTACCCACACATTAACAAAGCAAAGCTATCTATTTCTGAGCGGATCATCCAGGACCCATGGAGAGCTGGGCACTCATCTTCTGGCAGCAGCCCAGCCTACTTGTTAAAAAGTCACCGACTCGGCCACTCACCCCACACAGCTGAGCACTCACTTTCTCATGTCGGCCCCATCCATTGCTCATAGGCACTGCCTACTCCTCTCCTAACCCCACCAACTATTCAGGTAGCCCTGTCCTCTGCACCCACATCATGAGTAAAGCATGAAGTTAGAAAATGTTAAACCGGCACAAAATCCGAATTTTCGCTTCAGGACAGCCAAAAGTGTCACAGCCAAACCAGGACCTTTTGTAACTATGACGAGGGTGCCCCACCATCGTGTCATTTGCCAACGCTACGTGGCAGGGGGTTAAGCTCACCTGTGCTGCGGTGGTTAGAGGTCCGAGTCGAACCAGGCGACGTGGCCGTTCTCAGTGGGATGTGGTGCCAGGCCGATGTCCACGTCAGGCCCGCCGGGGTGGGCTAGCTCGGGCAGCATGTCATGGAACTCGGGCCCATTGCCATGAGGCCCTGCCAGATCGTGGTCCATCATGGGGTCGAGACCCATAGGCTCCCCCATGTAGCCACCTAGAATAAGAACATAAGCTCCATATTGCATCAAATATACAAAGATTAAACATTTACCTGCATCAAGTGATTTCCTGAGCATTGAGGCAGTACACATCTCTTTACAGCCCTGAGCCAATGGTGAAAATTATACATTACCATTCGGAGGGAGAATCTATCGATAGGAGTGTTGACTACCTATAAACTTTAATTATAGCATGCACAGCCACTTTCGTCACCGAAGTGTCAGTGTGGATCTGCCAATATAATTTAAATGTCCCTCAGTAAGGAAAAGGTTCCTTACCACTTTCTAATAATGCATGTGGTTCATAGATGCTCAAGAAGAATATCCTAAGCTTAGTTTTATGGAAGTGTGGTTGATATGACAATGTATATTTGCACCATATTGTTGTTAATATGCTTAAGGCCAAAAACTGACACTCGTATAAAAAGCAAGATTAGACAAAAGGTGCACTTCTACGTACCTCCATGCTGCATCGGGCTGGGCCCACTATGCAGGCTGCTGTGGCTGCCGTACATGCCGTCCTGGTGGTACTGCGGGTCACCCTGGTGCAGAAGGTCAGCGCCCATTACGCCACCCTGTTGATGCAATACGTGCAATTGTTTACAGCAGTGGAGACTGCTCGTCTGACCCGCGCAATACTCAAATCCAGCTCAGCGTAAAATGTCCCCGAGCACAAACGAGAAAGGTTAAGCTAAATGGACGTATTTGGTGGGACACGGGTGGAGCACACACACCAATCCTCATAAAACAGTCTAAATTTGAATAAGCAAATCTGTTGTCTTTAATTGACCCGGCCGCCAAGTCTGACGCACTTCGAAGGTTTATTGTCTACCGAGACTTGCTAACAAAAAGGCAATATTGAGTATTGATTTTGGTTCGTTGAATGCAAGAACAGTCTGATCAAGTCTAGGGCAGGAGTCAAATCTGCCTTTTGGAGCATGGAGCAGACAATCGTCATCAGGCTGTTTTGCTGCCATACGGTAACACCGACACTTCTCGTTCAGCTGCTCAAAACATTTGTCTTCCGACTGCTTTGAAATCGAGAAATTATTTTGACGCACCCTGCAAGAGTTTCTGACAGGGGGTTGCACATCGCAGGGAAAATGAATATTCGTGCAAAAAAAAAGTGTTTTTTTTATATATACTGCGCACCATGTACCGCCAATACGTGAAAATTGCTTAGCAATTGTTAAAAATTCCATCGATGATGCTCAAAAACTGGCACAGGAAGGCCTACTGATGCCAACATTGGAGTATAATTTAACAGGTAGACGCTGCATGACAGATGTAATAAACAAAAAATATTGCAAGTACATATCTAGGCTGCGTGTCTCAAGCCGTCTTGGTAGGAGTTAAATTTAATGAGAATATTGACTTGAAAATCGTGATTAGGCACATTGCCAAATCACTAATTGTGACAACCAGGGACAGCATTTGTAAATATGTACAGAAGCTTTATTTGGGTTGCGTATGCCTTGACAATTGTCACAGATTACTTACAGAAACATTTATGTTTTGAAATTAATACCAATGCTTGTGGATAAATAACTTGTGAAAAGTTCACACCACAGCAGTTGCTCACCTCACCCCACGCGTTTGGGTCATCACGGAAAAGTGAGTGGGTGAGTTCCACCGACAACCTCTTCTTGAAGTCTTGCGGTTTGTCCTCCGACATCCGGAACAGCACCGCGGCAGCGTATGTGGCTGTGGCGGCAATAATATTAACATAAAATGCAAAGGAAAGCGTGAAGTACATATTTACATGTCAATCAACAAACACCACATACAACAAATGCAATGAGAACCACCGTTTTCATTATACAAATAGAAAGCAAGATGCAACATGTAAAAACTACGAGTCAACCTTCTTTCAATAAGGTAATTCCTTCCCTGTTCCTGCGCCTGCTCTCTAGAGCCACCTATAACCATCTGCATTGGCAAACTCCATCCCTCGATTCTAAGTCCAAGCTGAAGATCTCCCTCAAAGGTCACCACTGCCTAGTACTGATCTTTTCCATATATGCAAAAAGGTCATTCACTTCAATGGTCCTCAACTTACCCCCCTAACCCTTCCAAAAAAAGACCATGAAACAATCTTACTCTATGCATATTTTACTTCAAGTACTGTATGTGCAGCAATAAGGTGGAGTTGATTTTTTGATTCCTAAATTCCAAATATTAATAGAGCAAGAACAAACCCACCAGCCTAAACCACCAGAATTCTACGATAAAATTTTGATATGCAGAGCATAAAATAGAACGCATATCAAGATGCTACGAATAAAAAGTTGGTATATTTATTGTAGAGAAACAGTCTGTCGAAGGCAAAACAACAAGTCTTGAGCCTAGACTTGAACAGGCTATGGGGGCAGCAGAACAGATCGTGTGACCTCCCACTGACCGAATATTCACTGGGGCATTCATAAGAAGACCTTGGTTGCTGGACCAGAGCAATGGAGGGAAGTAGTTAGATGATAGGGGAGAGATAGGCAGGGGCTGAGTCCAGGAGATCTTAAAAAGAAAATCTTCAAATAGTTCTGGGATTGGAGAGCCTGTGGAGGGATTGGAGTGTTGAGGAGTGCGATCCAATTTCCAAAGGCAGGCCGACAGCAGTACTATCCATCTACAACTCGCACACAAGCGCAGTGCGCAGGCCTCACCGACTCCCTCGTTGCGCGAGTGGAGGAGCTCCGTAAGCGGCGCCGTTGCTCCCTCGGTCTCAATCGTCTCGGCCGCTTCCTTCTCCTGCGCCAGCTCGCACAGGACGCCGGCTGCCACACGCTGGATATTCTCGATGTTCGAGTAGAGCAGCTGGCAAGGAAGGATGGGGGAAGGCCTCTTTCTTTAACCGCATGGTTTCAGTTTAAGAGCCTGAAAGGGCCAGCTTTATTTCGGGTAGGGCAGAGTGCAGTAAAGTTTTGGGAAAAAATCCATCCCATGGGAACCATGCGCAAGGCTGGCACACTCATCCCACAAGGCATCCGGAGGTCAGATGAACAAAAATGTGACCAATTCCAATCCTGTAATGCACGTGTTGTTAAACAAAAACTCCGCTCCAAGGGTTAGACAGATTATGAAACGTATCCTATAGTTAGCCATTAACATCCTACTATTTGGCAAGTCCCACACAATGCTCTCCACTCTTCACAATCCATTACCAACTCCATCCAGTTTGTTACAAATCTTTAAAACGAATCCCGCAATATCATTGTCTACTTACCACTCTCATCTTTCCTCCCATCAGCCTACCTCCCGGTTAACAAATGCAATTTGTCATCCGATGTCCGGTCGACAGGTCCTGCCCAACTCCATGTAAAAAAAAATAATTGTAAACTACCTCCGTTATCCTAGATTTCAGACTCAAATATTCAGTACACCGAATTGTACCTCATCAATGACATGAAACCACTTACATGTGTAAGGGACACCCGAGAAGCAAACCCCATTAAGAAATTAATATATGCTCAGCGAGTCAAAATAGCTTGCGATTAGCACGGTTGGCTACGTACTGTGCAAAACAAGTTCATACATCCAAATAGCGTGCGCGACTCATTGGCGAGCCATCACAACACGGGAGCCAATGTTGGGCGCACAATCCAATTGGAAGGTGAAGAACGATTCCAATTAGATGTTATGAGGTATTTACCCTATTGAAAATTGCCCACAATAATCCAAAGAGTGCCAAAACTTGGAAGACCCAAGCCAAAAGGATCATTTAAAAAATGAAAACAGATTTCCCTGACGGCTACCAGTCACAGCTTCGTATTCTTAATTAAATACGTCTGAAGATAAATGCATGCTGCAAAGTATTACATAGGCCACGCATAATGCATACATTTTCCCCCAATTTGCTTTATAAACAGTTTCTTTAGAATGGACACCCTACAAGTGTGCAACAATGCAATTGCATAAGATTCCCACAACGATGGTAAGAGGAAAGCAGACTAAACAAACTCACCTGGACGAACAGCGGTACGGTGTTCAGGCCGCGGATAACACTCCGGTTGTGCGCGTCACGAGCCAAGATGTGCAGCGCGCCGGTGCAGCCCTCGACTATCTCCTCCATGCGAATGCCATCCTACACCACAAGCACATGGAGCATACACCAGTTAAAGTCATAACTTTACTAGCAACAATATTAATATTGTATATGAAGTCCACTTGTCACCTTCACCTCGTAAATCAGTGCTCCTCAATTCCATTCTGGAGAATTCACATCGTGTTCTGTTTGTACCTCTGACAGTTTAGAGTATTTGGTTGCTATAAATTTCCACTTGATAAGCCACTTCGTTGAGCTTTCATTTGTGACCAGGTCGCTTCTGAAAAAGAGCTGTGTAGTTCAGTGGACCTTTTTTCCATATCATGTGCTAAGCAGCCATCAATTAGGTAAACGAATTTAAATGAGTATTACACAAATATTCCTATTTGTTTTGGGGATTAGGCTGTGGTAGTTCTATGCCAAAATTATTGTCATTAACTCTCCATCTCCTGACAAGACTGTCACAAGTTTACAAATAATTTTGAATACTAGCCAACGTACGGGCATACTTCAAGATGTTTGGTTTGTGTTCTTGAAGAACTGAACGTGAAGTGAAACATTTAAAAGATACTTATTTTTCATACCCGCACCTCCGATGACCAAGGTTGGCTATGTATGGTGTGAAAGAAGTTCATACATAACAACACCTAAGGCTGCATAAGAAAATATTTTGACCAAAACCTGCTAAAATAATCCTTTTTCATGTGTTAAGAGGTGGAGGGTTACGGGGGAAGGCAAGTGAGGGGAAAGTAGGGGAGTCTGCTTCCCACTATGTTGCAACACAGTAGTTAAACTGGCTTGCAATCAAGTGATTGTGCTACGAAACCGTGAGACAGGCCAAACAGCCTGGAACCATATAAAATGCAGACAATCGACAATTGTGCATTTACTATTAGTTGTTTTTTTCGAAAAAAAACACATCATTTAGGATGTTAAAGTATCTTCACGAAACAAACGACACGTAAATTTGAAGTCACGAAAACTTCAAATTTAGAACGAATTTACAACCGATGACATTTCACGAACGACTTTGAACATCATCATCAGGTAGAGAACCTGGGAATCGATGTTTTAATTAAACACGTCTGAAATGTGAGGTTTATCAAGGTAGGACCTGTGGTTAGACAAGCAAGCTGAATGGACAAAAATAAGCCGTAACAAATAAATAAATAAAACAATTAAAAAAATAGGAGTGGGCTCAAATAGTTAAGCTTTCAATAAACATGTTATGATGGATCATCTCCTTTGCAATTAAATGAACCATCATGATTAAATGGACAATGATTTTATATAAGAGTATTTACAATACAAAAAAATCTCTTGTACAACTGTCGTTTGATCCATAAGTCTCCTCATGCAAGGGATGCGTGGAATAAATAGTGCAAGAATAATAATCACATTTTACATGTATTATTTATATATGTAGTCAATTTATTTGCTGGTGAAGCTTAAGAATTTCCGTTCATTTAAGTAACAATGCATGTCCACAGCCTTCAATAAATAGGATGTCCAGCACAACTGCAGCAGCACTCACCACATACTGCGGCTGTCCATTGGCAGCCACTCCCTGGCGCTGGGTGTCCTGGTGGGCACGCACGAGCAGCTGCACGAGCCGCGGGATAGCGCCGTGGTCCCGAAGCGGGGCGTGGTTGGCGGGCAGCAGTGCCAAGTTACGGATCAGCCCAACCACAGCCTGTAGGACACAAGAGAATGCACACAAACAAGATTAAAGCTCCCAACCCACTCAAGCCGTTGGAACGAGTGCTGTTCGTGAAAAACTCCTGACAACCATAAGACATCCAAAGAAGTACCACCAGGCTGCTTTTTTCCAGAGGTGTAATCATTACCTTGATAAGAGGCCAGCGGGAGGGCGGCTGCAGAAGCTTGACAGTGATGGGCAGGCCGTAGTGGAGTCGCACGGCATTCTGGGCCAACTCCGCATCAGGGTGGCGGCTTGTGAGGTGGCGGAGAGCGCACACAGCCGGTTCAGTAATGTCCTCACGGTCACCCGCCTGCAGTACAGTCTGTACCAGTGCTTCGATACCACCCACCTGGAGCGAGTGCGGTACAAACACACATCACTCGACAAGGGCTTGCGAGCGAGGGCTGCCTCTCACCAGTAACAAAAGCATTGGAGGCAAAACATGGATCACAGATTTGTAAATGCAAACCCACTTGAGCTATAACGGTGGCCAGGAGATGTGTGTGTGGATTATTTGAGCGTTATTCCATTAGAGCTTTGGGTTTTATCTGGGTACTTCTGTATGCAAAACTCACGTATTTGGCCCAATATCTTAAAACAAGACCCATTTTGAAAGTCGAGGTTCAGCAAGGCTTTCCTAGATGAAGAAAATTCATGATTGTACTCATCTTTTCCTCTCAGTAAACAAGCACAATAAACCGAGCACCGAATGCTTGTAGCCATCGATGGCCACCTTTCAACGATTCACTTCGTCAGCGGTGCTGGCTTGCTGAAAACACAGGCACACCTGGCAGACGACCATCTTGTTGCGGTAGTTGTTGCAGGTGAGGTTGGAGAGAATGCCAGCGCCACATGTCACCACGTTCACATCGTTAGAGCCCAGCAGCTGCACGAGTGATTGCAGCAGACCTTCCATGTTCTCCTGGAGATTCACAACGCACAACTTGCTTTCAGGAACATTCAAACGAACAATAGGACATGTAAGTATGTGTCATCATGTTGTTTTCCTCTGCCGAAACTTTAAGTTGAAACCGGTCCAGTTTATGTACTTAAACAATGTGTGTGCATGTATAGCCAGTCCTCAAGCCACTGCTGGATGGCCTCCCCACACCTTGTGGGCCATGAGGGATATTTGACTATACGTCACCATGATGGTCAGGACTGATTAGCGAAGAATGGAGTGCGCAGAACACTATTTCATACACTGCCCTTTCACGTATGGTAGTTACCCATATAAGCACCATCCAAACCTAATAAGATAGGGGTGCGCATTCAAGGCGACATGTTCATCAGCACTTACGCAAATGCCGATGGATAACACGGATCTAGAAAGCGCATAGGCTGATTGACACAATGTTAATATTTTTAATGTGGTGAAAGAGATCCTCGTCAGTTTATTTATTTATTTTACTGCCTACAATAAGGAGAGTTTGTGAGTGACACTTTAGGCTTAAATGTCAACTAGCCACAATACTTCATCTCCTGACAAAGAACACAGCACATAACACAATTACAGCCACGATTGCTTTTTTGTGGGGGATACACGTGTGTTTGACAGTTTTAAAGTTCAATTCTGATTACTAACATGTTCACCTTTAAGCAGCTTCACAAAAGGCCATTTTACAAGAATTGCAACGTTGTATAGTACACCATGTACAATGCAGTATACATACTATACATGCATGCACTAGTCTATACTAGTGCATGTATATAACTATTCGCCCCCCTTACGATGTTATTTGTCGTCAGAATTCAGTCACCATGTCAAGACTCCGGTGGTCTACAGGGTCTATGAACCAATTATATACATACACAATAGGAATTGAAAATAATCAATTCTTTAAAGAGAGTTGATACACTCATCGTGAGCTGATCGATCAAGTTTAATAAATGAATGTATGTATGCCTACAGTAGTGGACCAGTCTACAGTGTGCTATACTGAAAAGCAAACAAAGCATCATGAACCACTTCGGCTCTCACGCCCACCACAAGTGTCCACAAAACCCCAGCCCCCCTTCCCCCCACTGTTATTCAGCCACCCACACCTTTCAGCAGCCTGAAATGCAGCACTGATGAAGGCAACAAGGGGCTGAGAATCTCATCCGCTTATTCACAAAGATCTTTCACTTCCTGTGACTAACAATGGTGGGTTGTTTACCTCCACGGCTCACTCAGTGGGGGAGCGGAGGTGAACATGGGACTGTGTTGATGGATTCTTATTGATTTTATTTCACCAAGCCAGATGTTTTATCATGAGACCTCCCTCATCAGTATCAAAATATACGAATAGGCATTACCCACTTCGGGCAATACAACGGGTGTTAAGATATTAAAACACCAAACAGAAACCTTTTGCAAGGAATCATGTCCAAATAACCCACATACTTGTGAACAAACAAACACATGCGCTGGTAATATATGCATTGTCTTTGAAACTGATTGGTCTACACCGGATAGCATTCTTTAGAGCCTAGTCTCAAACAGCGTTTATGTTCATCTTCTTGGTTCTTTCGGTAAAGTCCCATAGAAGGAAAATAATAAAAATAAATCATAAAATAATTTTCACGACGTTTCGGCCGCAACGCAAGCAGCCGTCTTCAGGTGGAGAACAGGTCTGTCGAGAAGGCAGTCTGAATGCTTTCAGACTGTCCACCTGAAAACGGCTGCTTGCAGTTGTGGCCGAAACGTCGTGAGAATTATTTATTATGGTTTCTTTTTATTATTTTATTATTTCCCTTCTACGTGACTTTACCGAAAGAACCAAGAAGATGAATCCCTGCAGTCACGAAAGCTTTAAATCGAGCGTTGATGTTGCCAGCTCTCCTGATAATCAAATCACCTGCTTCGTGGCGGCATCAGAAAGGTTGCGGAGAGTCCACAGGCAGTTCTGCATCAGCCTCTGGCTCGGACTGGTCAGATGGATTCCCAGAGCCTGCATCCCACCTGTGGTTACAAGACATATATTTGTGCCCTGTCAACATGTGTACATGTCTAGCCCTTGTCTCCATACATTTGCTGGAAGAGAGCCTCCTCCCAATTCAATGCGAGTGGTAGGAGTTATTTGACAATACATCACTATGTTGGTTACAGTATGGGTTAAAAGGTGAGCAGTTTTTACATTGCAGCATAGTACAGAACACTTGTTTTCTGGAAATCAGTGTCTCAAGTTTTGTTAAAGAGAGTCTTCGCATTGCGATGTTTGGCCCATTCCATTGACATTTGGCTTTAAGTCGGAGGAAACCAGAACTCAAACACCAAAGCCTACGAAAGGGTCAAATTCAAAGCCCTCAAATTAAATATTAAATTGCTGTCCTGTCATCTCGTGGTCACCTCAACTTTAGCTTAAAATACCTGATATTCCCAGGCAGTTTCACAAGTACTAACCTGGTCCAACTTCTTAGCTTTCAAGATCAGAAGTAGTAGACATTCAAGTAAAAATAAATCGCTGTTTTAGCTTGGACATGCAGAAAGCTTTGAAAATATTATACCATGTACATTGGAGAATATAACATACGAATAGGGTCTTCAGTAAAAACAGGCTATGGGCACCACTAAAAATGATTAAAAAAGCAATGAAAAAATTCTGCCTTTGATGAAGCAAATCTAGATCACAGCCCAAGGCGGCAGCACAAAAGCTACGCACCCCCACCACCACACTTCTCAGCAAATAAACAGGATTGAAAGGAAGGCAATTCATTTATATCAGCATGATCTTGCATCAGTGATTCGCAAAAAAGCCCACAACTCCCTCAGGGGAAAAGGGCTGAACCAGAAAATGCTGTGAACCATTGCATTATAAAATACAGCTGGGGAATGACAGCCATGCACATATAAATATATATAAGAGAGCACAATTAGGAGAACCATTCTTATACATATCAAAAGGGACTCAGAGTATGCACTTGTTCTGTCAGTGTACCAATAAACACAATTTGACAGGAACCACAATCCGTTCCTCTCGCTTTAGTGGGAGAAAGTGTCAATTTTGATCCACTCATGCAAAGCAAGAGGCACACAGTCGCACCACTCCCTCCCCACCATGCACATTTCAAACGGGACTTCGGTGCAATCTCAATTGGCCAGAACATGAATTATAAATGATGTTACATGTGGGAGAAACTTAAGTACCAAAATAGTGAGAATGGAAGAAAAGATAATCGCAACTGAACATGTATTTGATATTCTTTGGGTCTTTCGGTAAAGTCACATAAAAAACAAATAATACGAATTCCTGCAGTCACGAAAGATTTAAGTCAACATGTATTTGAATGACATGCTAATTTTTTTGTGTGCTTTATAATAAAAATGTCCAAATAAGAATTAAATTATCGTACAAAAAAAATGCTACTGCTTTCATTTGTACATAACCTATTGCTATAATTAGTAATACTGAGATCAGAGTTTATTGGTGCAATAATCATGTATTTGTTTAAGCTACTGACAATTTTTTTTAAACAAAATATTTCGTACAATTTTCTGTATTAAATAATTCAGACTCGAACCTGTTATGGGTCAACTGTCAGTGTCATTTTGCATCCTTTTTCAGTAAGCTACTCTCCCTCCCTCGTAATGCGATTCATTTTAAGTTTACCCTGAAAAATCCTCAATGAATATCAAGGTTATATTTCATAAAGGCGGGTACTGCATAGGGCTATTGGGCCAATCCCATTGAAGAACATTTTGTGTGTGTGAGAAACCATAAACACCACATGTGCAAGAACATAACAAAAACATCTGGCAGAAATAGGTTCATAAGCCCATTTAGCATAATGAAATCTCAACCATCTCTGCTTGACCCACCTACCCTCGTCTCCAAAGTGCTGGAGCATCGGCGTACACCATCGCCATAATATATTCCCTTCTACTTTGTCCCCCTGCATGCAGCCCACGTAACTCACCAGCCTCCACAATGGCGGGCTTGTTACTGGAGCACACGGACAGCACTTTCAGCACCCGGCTGGTGGTCCACAGCAGCTTCTCATAGCTGTAGGTCCTCATGATGTGCACCAACCCAGTGGGGCCCCCACTGGCAAGGATGATCAGCTGTTGGGGATAAGGGTGGTTTAGGTCAGCCTTGCATTCATCAGCAATAGCCACGAGCAAACCACTGCTGTATGGACTGCCAAAAAAGGGATTAACATTTTTTATAATTGTTATATGGAACAGATAAACTGAGGCTACAAGAATAAATTACCAAAATACATCAAAAGGGGAGCTAGACAAAGAGGCATGCTTTCAAGGTAGATCACAGTCTTGAATTACCACTGCTTAAAAACAGACACGATTGAAATCTTACAAATGGCACCAAATTAGGTAAAATGAGAAACATATTTAAGGTTAAAAACAGCAGTTATTCCGATTCATATATTTCCATTAGCATTCAGTACAGCTTACATCAAAAGGAACATCCTTGATTTTTTAAATAAATTATGTACAAAATCTTTTTTTTATATTACAGTTTAACTGTCGCAGTGCTGAACTTTGCAATCCGAAAAACTCTGGTCCAACACTATAGTATGCGAGCAATTTTTCAATAAACAGGCTTATTGGGATATGGCAAGCAGCCTCACCTTGCTCTCCTGGTTGCCATAGGCCAGCAGCTGCAGGCAGTCGGTGGTGATGGCAAGAAACTTCACGTTGCCCTTGTTCAGCAGGGCCACCATCTTCTGTAGCCCGCCCGCCAGACGCACGGCCATCTTGCTGCCCTCCTGGTGCAGCAGCAGGTTGTGCAGCGTGGTGATGGCGTAAAACAGCACCGACTCCACCGGACAGCTAGTGAGAGTGAAGCCACGCGTCAACAAAAGAACAGGCTCGCTCGCTCAACGCAGTACGTTACTTGCCATGACGCACTGTGCCTCGGGTGTTTCACCTTAAGTTAATTTAAATATTTCATTCAGATACAGAAATACCGGACAAAAGCCTAAACAATATACCTATAGACAAGGCTCTATGGATGTACATTGAAATAATTCATTGTTAATATTTATAATGTTGCCAAGATACAAGGCCAGTACCAAATAAAAAAAATTGTGCTCCGGCACGTGAATAATTCACACTTAGGAGATGAGGGTTGGTGGGTCAAGCAGATTGGAGATACAAACAAATCTGCTGAAATGCAAGATGTCCAGGACATGACAGCACAAGTGTGACTGAAAACATCTGCACAAACGCTTAAGTGTTAATCTGCTAATGTGTATGAATCCCCTCATGTGAAATTTCCTCCCACATACAAAGCTCCTTAAATTATAAATGGCAAAACATTCCAAAGCATGTATTGAGCCTAGCTTATGCTCTCCAGGATAAATCACCAGCCATGATCAAACCACTGTTGTGACAAAGGCCTTCCTCAATGCTGTTGCTTCTCCGAGATGCAACAAGACCTAGCACCTGCACTCGAGCCAATTTCACCTCTTCACATTGGACATTTTGTTTCGTGTCCCCCCCTCTTGGCTGCCACTCTAGCCATTCTCCACCAGGCCAAGGCCCTCCCATCACGCTTGAAAGTCAAGCGATCGCTGTACCTGAGCAGCTTGACAAGGGCGGGGATGCCACCGGACTTGAAGATGGCGAGTAGACCCTGGCGATGGTGAGAGAGGTTGTGCAGGGCACCAGCAGCATAGCGGGCGGTCTCCATGTCGTTGGTGTTCTGGGCTGCGCGCACAAGAGCCGACACCATCTGCGTCGACCCCATGATGGCGTGGCGGGCAGCTTCCTTCTTTGACAGCTGGTGCACCATCATCGCGGCATGTCCCATCACAACCTGCACATCAGAGTGGTAGATAAATTACATGATTTTAATTCCCACTCGGCAAGTTAATGCAGTTGGCTGCACAAAGTTTTACATTTTTCACGAAAGGTGTGGCGCAGCAATGGACCAGATACCAAGGCAACTGACTGCATTTTAAATGTTATGAAATGATAAAGAAAAAAAGTGATAAAATTAACCCCAGCATGTCTGTCTTCAGGAAGAACCATCATACCATAACAGTAGTTTCTTAAGTCCTATACAACAGATAGTGCTCACAAAAATGTTAACCGGAGCCCTTCAGTGAAATAAAATTGTCACCTGGCAGTGATATAATTTTATGCGAGTGGGTATCACAGAGAAGAGCCGCCAGGTTAAAACACAATTAATTTGTTTTATTTTACTTTTATTAATGAAAATTTTTTTTACCTACGTGACTTTACCGAAAAAAACCTAAGAATATGAATCCTTGCAGTCACGAAAGCCTACGCATCCACAGCACTGACGAGCAATTGGCATGATCAGAAAAACAAGAGCTGGCAGGGCGGCTGTGCTTACCGGGTCGTCATCGTTGAGCAGCTTGGTGAGCTCGGGTATGGCGCGCGTGGCCACCTCGGCGTCGTCCTGGTAGTTGATGAGGTTCACCACGGCCTGCTTCAGCATCTGCGACGGCTCGGCCAGGCGCTGCACGTTGGTCGGCTGCTCCGTGTCGAACTGAGTCGACGGCACCTGGACGCCCTCCTCCAGCGTCTCCGGGAACATGGCCGCTCGGATGCGCTGGGCGCGCGACGACGCAAACTGGCTCTCCACGTCTGGGCAGAGGGACGCCGGCGCCATTGGTCCACTCGTTGTTTTATACGATACAAGTCGCAAGACAATTACAAACGTGGATTTATACAGCATCTAAATACAAATGCATCTCAAGGCACAATTCAGGAAGTGCCCATGTATATTATGTTGAAACGGGGTCTTTGTGAGAGTCCACAAAATAATATTATTTTATGTACACTATTGTAATGCGACGCTATACAGAAAAAAGTTTGCATATTTATTTTGTGGAGCAAAATATGAAGCGATATCTGGGCGAGTCGAGGAGGTTCCGACGTGAGCCTACACGTTTCTATTTGGGTCCATGGATTCATATAAAACCCTTATGGATCTCTGTGCGAGTCTACAATAGAATAGCAGATTTTTTTAGCATTTAAGTGCAATCGCATCTCACGACGCTGTGAAAAATCAGTGTGCGCATTTCGTTTTATAGAGGTAGCTATTGCAAAGGAAAAAAATATCTTGAGCCTGAACTTAAACAGGGGCAACAGGTCAACAGGATATCACTGGGGGAAGGGAGTTCCCAATTATAGGGCAGTATCGGGTAGGTAATAAGGGACCTTCCACCGAGCAAGAGGTTAACTGGGAGTTTAGAAAGAATGTCTTAGTTGCTGGAGTGCACATGGAAGAGTTGAGCGATTCAAGCAGCGGGAGGTAGGCAGGGCCGAGCCCATGGAGGATCTTGAAGACACCGAAAGCAATCTTGAAATTTGTGGGATTACAATTGGGGGCCAGTGGAGTAACCAGAGTACTGGGGTGAAGAGTCTGGCAGCAGTAATTTGGATGCACCATTCTCACAAAACAGATGCACTCGCTTTTTCAGGAAAGAGCCGATTTGTACCTGCCACATTGTCGGGAGTGAAACCGTGGTTGAAGCTCTGCTCCCACTCATAGGTGATGCGCGTCTCATCCCCCTCATCAGGATTTCCCTTGCCGCTGAGCGAGGGCGCTGTGGTGTTGACGCCAGACTGGATGCCAGAGTCCAGGTAGGACTGCTGCTGCCATTGGGTCACCTGCACTTTGCGGTCAGGCTCCATTGCCATGTCTAGCTCCATGAAGTCAGCTGCAGGGCAAAAAAAAGGTGAAATTTTCGAACGTAAACATGGTATTGGCATCTGAAGGACAAACGCAAGGGACCCCCCCGCCCCCCTTTTGTATAATGGCACAGCTGTTTGATGACGCCGCACTTCACTAATCCCACCGGGGACTTCCCCCCTCGGCGAAATGACCGACCCAATTTATGCAGACTTCTAAAAAAGCACACATTTTATCTGGCTCTTCTGTATTATGTTAAACGGCTCGTAAGATGTACATCCAAGCAATTTTAGGAATTCTAAAAAAACATTCAATATTTTCCAACGGCCAGCACGAAACATAAGCAGAATGAATTAAGACAAAGTATTTGCAGTTTCCAATCATCGCACAGGATGGAAAATAAATAGCGAGGTGGCTTAAAATCTATTTCAATTGAAAATACAGAAGACCGAGCCAGAAAGGGAAGTCCGATTCTTCCCAATTTACCCCTGGTGTACTAATGCCCTTTACTGGTTTGAGAACCTTGATAAAAAGCACTACACAAATGTCATTATTATTAATGTAACATAAGGTTTGGGGACTATTTAAAAACAGAAAAATTAAATTAATTGGAAATTAGTGATAGTCCGACAACACCCGGACTGCAATTTAATGAATGCAGTGGATGTTTGTCGTCTACAGTTGCAATCATAATGCCATCAACCTGCAATAATAGCTAGCACTTCTGCATACATCCAATATCTCAGCACACGCATATTGGTTATTAATGCTTGCTCTAGGGGGCCCAGCACTTGGCCTTTAATGCATCGCTGCTCTTTCATGCCGATGCTGCTGTTGGAAAAATGCAGACATTTAGCCCCGGTGTCATTATGGCCTTGCCAGTGGACAAGTTCCAGTGTCACTCGACGGGAGAGGCCTATTAAAAAATCCAACTTGATCCTCGAATCTAGCCCATAGGACAAGAGAATTTAAGGCTTGGCTAGTGCTGAAAAAATGTCAGACTTACTGCCAAAAAATTTGAATAAATCCCCTCATGACCTAATTAAGATAAATTTTTAGTAAAAGCAAGAGAATAAGCTGTGCAGATACTGTCCACGACACACTTGAGTGGATCGTTGGGTTCAGAAGGTTAAGCAATAAACTTGAAAGCCTATATTGAAGACACTGTGGTCATGTTGTAAACAACATGCAAAGCGGAAACTAAATATCAACATCACAAGATCAACGAACAAGACTTGAGAGCTATTATTTTAACGAAGTCAAATGGAAATTAACAATGTGAATGTCAAACACGTGACACCCGTTTATGCGGGTCAGCTTTCATGTTTAACAAAAAACAAATAGGTCCACTAAACATGCACATAAGTGTCATTTGACCGCTCGGACATATTGCCTTGATGAAAACATGACTTGTTTACTTCTATATATAATTAATATTGCATTTCAAATCAAACTTACGTTGTACAGCCATCTTATGTCCAGAGTTAGAGGGTTCTGTAATTTCAGAGCAAAGCTGTTGTAAACCGTCACCTGAAAAGAGTAAAAACCACAAAACATGTCAAGATAAGCCAAAAATGACAACAATTCACTTGTGTATGGATCGAAGATTTTACCACCAAGTACCAAAGGAACTATGCTATTAAAACATGTTCAATAGGGGCATTATTCTACTGTACTACTACTGTATGTGCACTTTACACAATGCCGTTTTTATAGAAAGAAATTTTTCCTGTACAAATAAACGTTAAATATAAAACATATATCATTCCAAGTGCATCTAAGTAATGCAACAAGAGCCAGAACCAGACATTTGTGGATTGTGCCATGTTCTGCTTCATAGCAACGACACATTTAATTTAACATCCAGTGATGGCGTTGGTACAAGTGGTTCTAAATTTGCAAGCACATACCCCTACCTACAGGCTCTTCCATATCATCTCACCTCAATGTCGTGTGTACGTGCCTGGTACAGAACCAAGCACACCTTTCAGATTTCCCAAGCATACCAAGAGATTTTTTTTTAAATCAAATTCAAGAATGCAACAAGCACTAACCAACAATGCAAACTGACAAGGAGCTCAACATCTAACATATGGCCAACACTTAACTCAGCATTGCCTGTAAATTCCAAACACATCTGCAAATCTATACATAATATTAACAGCAACAAATCTCATCAATAGCCATGATCAATCCACTGCTCGATGAAGGCCTCCCATAAATCTGCCATTCCACACGGTCCCACCTCTGAAAGATACTGGCTGACATCTCTTATATACACGAATTGACGGTTTTATTAGTCATTCAAATGGGTGTTCTAACCACACGCATTTCTAGATCCCCAAAAAAATCGTAGGAGGCAAGTGGGTGGGCACCCTCCATTTTACTTCCAGAATATTTTTCATTGCTTAATGCCATGACTCACAAATACCTTCCATTACCCATTGCTCAAAAACCCTACACTACAATTACTATGACAACTGTGTATTATAGGAGATTAAAACTATTTACATTCTTTCATAGTGAACAAAAGTAAAAAAAAACTATTGGCTAAAGCAATCCATGCAACGTTACTGGCATGTGTGCGTGTGGGGGCACTTAGCTCAATGACAGGTGCAAATTCTAACCAGACGGTGTCAAATGCTTCTAGAGCGCCAGAAAAGTTGAAGAGACACCCATATTCATCATCAGTGGGTTCACCCTCCGATGACTGCGGTGCACAAAATATCCCAAGACCTTTTTGTCCACTTTGTAATTTCCTACACCGCGATTATTTTAACTACACATGTATTTCCATTAATATTAGATGTAATTAAAGTGTCTATGCCTACACATAAAAGCAAGTACAGTTTGTAATACTGTGCCATGATTAGTTATTTAAATCATTATTTTGGAAGAGTTGCAGGCAATGACATAATCAATTATTGAACAACGCTCTCAACCTGTGACACTAACACTTAGGCGAATCAACAATTTACCCTTAGGCATACCCAACACTGCTGCCAGGAGGGATGCCAACATTAAGTTTATTTTTTTTAAGTACTTGGGCTCTGCTACTTTACAAATTTAGAGCCTCGGACTACCAAATTTCCGTTGTTTTCAGCTAAAGCATTAAAAGCAGACTTGCCGCCAGGGAGACGTGAAATGGAGGTACAACTGTATACCAAGGGCCCCCAATAAAGGACGGCTACAATATTTAAAAATAAATCTAATATTTGCATGATGCTACTGTATACCAATTACTCTGATAAATCCTAAATGTAGAGCACATGATCATTTTACAGTTAATACCCAAGCGTAGCCATTCTATTTTTTTTTCAATCTAGCCTATCCCAAAGGCATGCGTGCTTGGGTAAATATTTGTAAAATGCTGGGTAGAATAAAAGTTTCCCTCTTTGCAAACACCGATGCAGTATGGGAAGAGATGCCCCCCCCCAGCCAACACGACAAACCAGAGCTCCACATTTCTCTTGACGTTCTGATCAAAAGTTTACGCCAGATTTTTTCCTTTATACTAAACCAATAAATACTTCACATCATTATCTCATACAGTACTGGTCCCTTTCCCAAAGAGCTCACTAAAAAAATCAACACGATACTGCATTTGGAGTTTTGTTGACGTGACAAATCCCTTACTATTTTTTTACTAATTTAGCTGTGTTAGGTGGTGGAAGGGTTTCGACACATTACTTACGCAATTCCTAAACTGTTGTTGCTTTAGTTTCATGCACGGTCTACGTACCTCCCACACAATTTGGTCATAGAAGCAGGCAAAGAAGCCACGATTAGTCATAGGATTGTGCACGCAACCACATTTACCAATGACGACTGGAATTCAGCACCTCCACATGATGTGGGGGTATGTTTCTATTTCTGTCCAATCCCCTACATTCCAACGGACATTGGGGATACCACAAAACATGAACTACTTCCTATTTAACGCTTTAGAGTTTAGATTTAATCAATATACTGTAGTGGGAACTCCAATTACCTAGCATCATTAGACTCAACTGGTATACTGTAATGTGGCTTGACCGTTTGTATTATCACAAATATACACTCTGCTTATGGGGACTTGACCTCCAAAAAAAATCCTCCGTGGTTAGCAACCATATCATCTGACCTGTCAAGGAATTGGAATACCAATGAACAATGAAGCATCAAAAGCTTGGTTTTATTTTCTGTACCAAAGCCTCTAACTCCAAACAATAATTACTACTGTAAAGCACAATCGGAAAAAGCCTCAATAATGCAGTCATATCGGGAGTAAAGCACCCACTTTCTACCACCTTACTGTACAGTATTTAATAGCATTCAACGTAAAAATCAATTTTGTCGATTGGTGATTCAGCACTCACGATTTACTGCAGGTTACACACAATGGCAGTCAATTCGCCTCCTTATTACTACTCTCTTATCACGAATACAGCACACGCACCATGGTTATTCTACCTTCAATCTTCACTCGTGTTGAAACTCACGCTACTAGACGGACAATTTCATCTCGTACTGCGTTCAACCACAACACTTACTACTGCTGCTCCAAACAATTCGCGGGTTCTCTCCCCCCAGCACTGCTCGACTTTAGAATTCCCTCCCTAATCGTTTCTTTCACCCCCCAAGGTTCTGTACAACCTTGGCCATTTCAAGAAACGTGATAACACATCTCTATTTACAACGTTTAGTGCCGTTTTATCGCCAGAAGCTTGGCGTTTTGGGTCTATGCTCAGCAACCATGAATGACTATACAGTATATTCAGGTAACGGAATATAATTACAGTAAACTCAATGGCATATGCTGTATATGCAAGCCTACAAAACTCTAAATCACATGAAAGGGCATTTACCAAGCCTACCGTAAGCAAGAGGTCCTACACACCTGTTTTCCATTCAATAAAACACACTTTACAGTATTTTTCAAGTGTATTAGTACAATGACACTAGCTCTTCAATCTCCCAAGCATTGGACTAATTGTTTTAACAATAGACGCGTGTATATTAAGTTAGCGCATTCATTGTAATGGGTTTCAAAAGAAGCCGAAACTAACCGATCCCATTACTACAATAACTGCATGTGCCACAGTGCTGTGCTACATTTACATCAACCTGTTAACTTAAACATCAACCTAAAATCCAGACGAGGATACAAGATGGATTTCTGCCGTCTGCAGATGTTAAGGTTCTCAAACTGGTTAATTGTACACTGTATCTACAAAGAACGTGCGATTAGACTCATGACCTATGGTGTGGAAAAGCCCACACTCATCTCGTGTGTGTACGAGTGGAAGAGTTTGGCCTCTTGTTCCTAACGCAAAACACACAATGTAGCCAAAAGCAGAGAAACCACGTCATTTTCTTCCTTTCTTTCCACATAAAAACCCCAAGTGTGGAACTGTAGTCACTACATTGTATAGTATTTATAGTACATGCACCGTAGGTGTAGTATTTACACACTTTTCTGGCTACGATGTTAAACAAAAAGTCAAAACCTATGAAGCGTTGTTCGAAATCACCAGTTCAGAAGGCTTGATGGAGCCAAATGTGGTTAATTTTTGGGTGGTGAAATATACGCAGAGGTCTACTACTATACACATGCAGCCTCTTTGTCAATAGAATGCTGGAGAGGACCTCTCGCACGAGTCCTAAAGGGTTATTTGACCATAATTTCGATTCAAAGCTTTCGTGACTGCAGGGGTTCATCTTCTTGGTCACGTAGAAGGGAAATAACCAAATAATAAAAATATAAACATAAAATGCAATTCTCACAATAATGAAATACAATTCTCTTGTGAGAATTGTATTTTATAATGTTTTCTTTTCATTATTTTATTATTTCCCTTCTACGTTACATTACCGAAAGAACCAAGATATTTGACCATACTTCACCACACTGGTCAAGAGTACTGTATTACAAGAGATGTGCTTTAAATACAACCATTTTTTGTTTAACCACTTACATAGATCATTTTATAAAGCGACGCAATATCAGAACTGTTTATACATACGTGGTACATTAAACACGGGTCAATATTAAAACATTTAAAAGCCACTTGAAGACAAAAAGCATCATTGGGGTAATGGAGATCCCAGGCATAACGTGGTTTTAAGAGGTCCAGCTAATAACAAAATGTACACATCGTACACAGCTAAGTTAGTGTACATCCCGCCTCGTGCGAAAGTGTGTGTATTAGCAAGTATGCTCTCATGGAAATCACAAAGTTAACGTGGCGTTATATACACGAGGAACACTAAAAAAGTACAGCCACACAACACAATGATGCGTTATAGGGTTACAACATTAAAGCCACACAACGCGATAACAATCGTCTTCCTTCCTGTAGACAAACCAAAACCAGTCGCCACCGTCAAGCAAATCACACGAATAACAACACACACGATTACAGTAGTCGTGATATTACAATGTACGCGTGTGTATGTATATTAAAGTAAATAATAATGTAAAGTTAACGACGAATAACCACCCTGGGGCCTTCAATAGCGAGACCATCACCGCGTTATTCAAGGCGGGTTTGACTCAATTCTGTGGAATTCTAAACAACAAAAAACCATACAATCGTCAGCATTCCCAACTCAACCGTGTCGATGTTACTCTTTACACAGTTTAAAACAATTTAGATTCAAGACATCACCAACAAACGAAACACACGAAGCCGCCAGCCGCGTCCGCTTCAACGTTACCGCCTCACGCCAATGGTAAACCATTACATTTTTATTTTCTTTACCACAAAACATTCAACAACCGCGTCAATCTCACCTCACCAAGTGGTCGCACCACTCCCCCCGGTCACGATTTGCTTCTTGTTCACGAGTTGAGATATTTAATGGTTTTAATCGCGGTGTTCGGATCGCCTCAGAACCTCACGCCGAGAGCGACGCAGGACGGCGATGGGGGTGGAAAAAACCCTATTGAAAAGAGTTCCGGTTGCCGATACCGGCGGAGTGATACACAGCGCGCGTGCGCAGCGATCGAGTTGACCGCTTCACACGTGGCCGCCCGCCAACATTAGAGGGAGGGGGAGGAGAAGTCCGCCTTGTGCTCCGCCGCAGCTGAGAAGTAGTGCGGGATGACGTCACCCCCCCTGTGAGTCACGGGGGCGGGTGGGGGGGGAACGTCACGTGGTAGCCCCTCCCCCGCCCCTCCCCCAGGCCCCACCACGTTCCAGCAGCTTGTAAATTGCAATGAGTCACCGCTCGTCCCAGCCGTGGTCTATTATCTAATTAAATAATTACACTAATTACATAACTAATTACAATGGGACACCAAAAAAAACCTCCCCAGGAACACTTTTTTTTACTGTTATAATAAAGACGGGCGAACACGTGCACCCACTGTCTTCGCTGTGTGTGCGACAAAGAGCTTAATAGATCATCGGATTCGTCCGGTCTACATTAAGTTTCTGACCACTTGCCCGCGTGGCCATGGCAAAGTGATGATCAGTGGCCGTGCAGGACTATCGATGTCAATGGACACGGCGGTGCCGCTTGTTATGTTCGTATGTTGAACTTCTTTCGCGCCGTACGTAGACAACAAACTGAACACCACAGAAATCACTTCCAAAGAAGTGAGTTTTCAATCGAGAAGATGATTTAAAAGTGCGTAGCTCCAGTGGCTTCCCAATATCAGAAGACAAGAGCGTTCCAGACGGCCGCAGAAGCGCGTCTCAAAGCGCGCGATGCGAGTGACCGTCTTTGTTCGATGACCAGCAGCCCAAAAGATAGTTACCCTTTTTTATTACATCCAGCAGTGGATTGACTGTGGCTGATCATGATAATTTATATATTTCTAAACCAGCTAAAGCCTTCCATAAATCACGTGAATTCTGTACACCCACCTCATTTTTATTACACGCTTTTATTTAACTCACTCTGTCTGTTGTTGTCGTATTCTCAAATCTTGTAACTCAAGTTTAACCCACTTCCCAATATGGTATCGACTGCAAACTTGGTATACTTATGTCATATACCGATGACAATACTATATTATATCATTAAAAAAACATTTTAAAACATTTTTTATATGTTATGTTTTCGGCTTGGCTCTAATTGTCCACCGTCCCTTAAGTTATGGAAAGCCTCGGGGCCACTTCCTGGAGTCGTGGAGTTCTTCCATTGCTAGTAGGGTACATTTCATAAAAGCGTGTTTTTACAAGTTTTTTTTATATTACTTCTACTGCTGAACGAGGGCCCTGGGAGCTGTTTGGACCATACCTCACCGCACTCGACCAACGTGGGTTGGTGAAAGTAGAGGGAGCCTAGCAGTACGGTACAACGATGGCTCCATTTGCTCACCACGTGGCATGTAACGTGAGCACGGTGCGTGCTCATCCGAGAGCACTCCGAGTCTCCACACGTCTGAGCCCAGGAGGAGTTCAAGCCACCATCCCTGCACACATTTCATGATTGTGACACCATCTACCACCGGAGCTTCTGAGTCCACCTTAAAACGTTTCTGTGCCATGTTCGCGGTTTAGCACGGAGGCTTTCGCGATCAATATTATCCATAATAGAGGGGGGGGGGGGGTGGGTTAGATCGCGTAATCTATAACCAACAAAAACTCTCATGGCCATTTTAGCACTCTGCTTTAGACGCTCTAAACGCTCCCGATATAACTCATCATTCATTGCAGCCTGTAACAACGTGGTCCAGATGTCTTGTGACCCGTCATTTCATTCTCTATAATATTTTTAAAAATAAGGTTTATTTACAACAGAAATGAATATGCAAAAGGAGAAACAATGTTAGGGGTCAAGTAATTGTGGGTTATCAGACATCTGGACCACCCTGTACATTAACTCAACTCTGCCCCCCCCCCCCCCACCGGAAGAGACCATCACTGGACCGTCTTAATCCTAAAAGTCCCCTTAAACAAATCCTCTCATTACGGAAAGGACCACTTAGTTTATCTGACTCCCTACCCGTAGCCCCTGAAGTGCCTCCTTATTCATACGGGGGAAAAAATCAATTTCCAAAAACTTTGGTCAAAATAAAAATGATTTCCGTGTTGCTGCTCCACGTTTCTGGCCTACTGCTTGCTTCCCTCCCTTCACTCCCGTCACTCTTTAGTCCTCTATTACAGGGGTGGGGAACCTTTTTTCTGCCAAGGGCCATTTGGATATTTATAACATCATTCGCGGGCCATACAAAATTATCAACTTAAAAATTTGCCTGTTATATTTGGTCAAACATTTAATTAACTCACCCCTAATGTGATGGCTGGAACTGCTTCGCTTTGGTGAGGCGTGTGACGTTAGCTGGTATTGATGATTTTGATTTAAAGCTTTCGTGACTGCAGGGATTCATATTCTTGGTTATTTCGGTAAAGTAACGTAGAAGGGAAATAATAAAATAATAAATATATAAAGCAATTAAATTCTCACGACGTTTCGACTGCAACACCTGATGATGATTTGCTTGTGTTGCAGTCGAAACGTCGTGAGAATTTTTATTTTTTTATTTCCCTTCTACGTGACTTTACCGAAAGAACCAAGAATATGGTATTGATGATGTTGCTACTCGCAACTGCGTTTCCAGGTTTGCTCCTAGATTTATTGAAATTCGAGTCCCGCCTGCGGTTGCCTTGGCATGGCTCTATTCGGTCAAACCACATCAGATCTTACTTGCGCCGACACTTAATTGGTGCCTCTTGCTCCCACGTGTTTTGCACTTTTTCGATTCGCGTGTGTTATGCGTATGGCCATTAAATGCCTCGTTTATGAGTTGTGCAATATTCCTTGAGGACAGTTTAACACGTAAGCTTTCGCGACCAATATTATTCATAATAAAGGTTTGTTTGGGGTTAGATCGCGTAAGTAGCATTTCAATTACTTTAGGACCCCTGTACCCTTAAGGACCCCTTGCACTCGTTTTCTGCAATGCCGATTTTTTTTCTTCTTTCGCTTTTGGTTTCTACTGTGCTCACGCACCACCGCCAGCACCACGGATTTGCATTGTCACATAGCCGGGCAGCTGGCTATAACGGGACGATCGGTGGAACAAATCAAAAACACATTCCTGCGGAGGGAGCTGGTAGGAACGTTGGATTGCTCGGTCAATGGTCAGGGTCAACGGCGGCGTGGTGTATTCCACAAATATGCCCCACTGTGAGGGCGGGCACAAGCCGGCGTGAGTTGGTTAAACGTTGAGTTTTATAAGGGCACCACGGGGTGACCAGCCCCTCCCCACCCAGCCCCACTCCTCCCGACCCAGCCCACCCCCCACCCAGCCCCACCCCTCCCATTTTTGGATACACGACAGACGGACGGACACAATAATCCCTTGTGGGCTGGTGTAACCAGGAGGTTCCTACCAGTATAAGCTCAAAAACTAAGCCAAGCTTCCGATATCCGCGGACGAGATTGGACGCATTCCGTGTGATCACTCCATGCACGGGCACTGATTGCACGCAGCTGCACAGGTGCCACGTTGGGCATCCAGGTGTTTGTAGTTGCACGCATCTCTCTAATAATAATAATTACCGCGTTGAGTGGCGGTGAGTGGCGGTAAGGGGCGACTGAACCTAATTGATACCAGTGCTCGCACAATCATTACGCACCGTCACTCGAGTGGAGGCTCGCTGGGAATAAACTCAATAAATAAAAGCTTTTTTTTAAACGTTTTTATTCACAACTTCGTTTAACTAGCGGTCGAGAAGTACGTCAATGATGCGGCACCTGCTCCCACATGAACGCTTACTTGAATTAATTGATTACTTTATAAATGAATCTTCAATGTACAACTTTTGTTTGTGTGGAGTGAGGGTGCCAGTAACTCGTTGACACGGAGCAGGCGCGCCTGAGACACGTGGCGATTTGAGACACGTGGCGATTTGAGAGTTTAGGGACCGCGGCGTTTTCACCTACACAAATATATATATATTTAAATAGGCGTCCATACAAAATGTTAATTGTAATAATAGGGTTTTCCCCCTTTTTTCTGGCAACAAAACTGAAACCTTTTTTACGAGGATTCATGTCTGCATTAACCACAATACCTGCAGTCAAATGCAAACAAAAACACACGATGATAATATAAGCATTGTCCTTGAAACTGATTGGTCCACACCAAGGGACGGCTTTCTTTGAAAAATGTTTATTGCTTTAAAGTAGCGAATTAATTGATTATCTGATGCCGATTTTGATACAGGCACGCATTGTCACCAGATCCGAGTACGTGTGCAAAATGTTGAATTGATTGGACAACAGGAAATAGAGTAAATTTTGATTACAAGATTTGACCACGACAAGCATAGAAGTCAAGTTAAGTAAGTAAAACCGTTGAAACAAAAATTGTGCCTTCGGGCTCATGCAGAGAATAGCAGAGAAAGCAACTTGCTCCGTGACATACACTTCGTTTGTCGAAAACAAAGCTGGGCTTATTTTCAATTCGGCAGTGTGCACGCAAGCCTGCAGTTCAGCACGCAATGATGGGCCATCTGTTGGTCGACGCTTGGCCAACGTTGATTGACGTTAAGCTAACGTTGGCCCATCGTTTTACCGGGTGGCCCTTTGTCAATCCACTGCTGGACGAGTGAGAGTAGAACTACTGTGCAATGGATTCTACCGCACTGCCCTCTGTTGCCCCAAAAAATGTGCTCCCCTTGTGTGCATAATCGTTGAAAGTACACGTTTGATCGTTCTTAAAAATAATCGTATAGTTGTGGGTACTAAGTTGGCGCAAAATAATTTAATAAACCTGCAACGTAATCTACCGAATTATTTTCCATTTAAAACATATCTATTTAATTCGCTTTCCAGTCGTACAGTAATTTTCCTCGTAATTTGAATTGCAATGACACAAATCATAAACTGTATGTGGTTCAGGGGACCACTGGCGCGCAGTGGTTATTGCACTGAGCTGTGAATTCAGCGACCTGCCTTTGATTCCCGACCAAAGCTAACATCAGTGGCGAGTCAGTTTAA